ATCAATCAAGAGCAGAAATCTTGATCACCCTGGGAAGGCTATGCATCATGAGCTATGACCGGGAACGCCCAGGGTGGGGGCATTGACAGATATCTGAGAAGGGACCCCAGAAGCTGATCAGAGGAACACCTTGTTTATAAGATTAGAACCATGGCTAGGGGTCTGAGTTATGGTTTCGATTACAGCAGATAAGATAAGCAGATAAGAATTATCTGGTCAGCAGATTCACATCCCCCTGAAGCCCTAGATAACAAAAGCACATTTTTGAGTTTCACCATCTTTTTCTCCTACCCCATGTAACTGATGCAGTATGATTATTTTATCAATAAAAAGGCCAGGATCTTGCTCATTCAGCAGCATCCTGCATTGTGCAGCCTGCTCCACAACTCCCATTTATCAGTGTGGTATTTTCAATGCAACATGCATCTTCTCTCCATTTCTTTATCTCCCTTTTTATATTTTCTCTCTAACATGTCAATCCTCCCCTTCACCACCCCAAAACATAAAACCACCTCTCTCCACTGTCTCCATCTGTGTGTGTGTGTGTGTGTGTGTGTGTGTGTGATTACCTCCACTTTACAGAGGAAAAAGATAAGTTCAAACACACCTAATAAAAGGTCTGTAGCAGACAATGTCATCCTGCCTGGACACCTTGACCATTTCTGTGGCTCTCATCCACAAGGCACTGCACACCCAGCACCTGTGATTTGTCTGAGGCCTCCCCTCAAATGGAACTCACTTTGCCAGTGGCCAGAGTCAGATGTCTGGAGTTTAAGCCTCCCCTCCTCCCACCAACTGTCCCCAACACTCAGGAGGTGGCAGGCCTTATCTAATGATTAACAGATGTGAAGGAGTGAAGACTCAGATTCCTGACCCTCCATGGGGACAGTTCTTCTGTGACTCTCGCAGCCTCCAGTTCTGTCCCAAGTGATTAAGCCAAAGAGGATCTCCTTTGATAACACACCCCACTTGCCTCCTTGCTCTTTGCTGCTTTCCATTTTCTCCACCCCAGGACCAATATTCCCAGCAACTTTCCCAGTAAATCTCTTTTACAACTATCCTTATCTCAAGTTCTGCCTTTGGAAAACACACCCCAAGGCTTGGTTCAAGCCTGTCTGACTTTGAAGCTTTTTACACAATATTGTGCTTGAAATGCTATTGCAATCATATGAGACAGTTCTTCACTAATTTTAGTCATTTAAAAAACTGAATGGCTCTGTTGCTTCAGTACCTAGAAGACAAGTTTGTGTTCAAACCCTCTAGCTTGTTTATTTCTTCTTACAAAACTTCTTACAAAGAAAAAAGATCTTTGAATGTGTTAGCAAAATGAAGTAAAGGACTGAAAGAAGTTATTTGCTTGAACTTGTCCTTGTAATTGTCCTACAGCTGGGTCCAAAATTAAGTAGGCATTAAAACAGATTTTATCCCTTTTTTAAAAAAAAGATTTATTTATTTATTTATGGAAAGAAGCACTGGGGTATAGGCCAGAGGTGCAGTGGGTAAGAGGATTCATCAGAGACAGAGTGGGGAGCAGAACAGGCAGATCTACTGAAATACAGTGCTAAGGGGAGCAGCAGGCAAGACAGGAGAGGTCTGCTATGCCATATGTGGGTCAGCTCCCTGGCCAGGAATCAAACTCAGGCCATGGCAGTGATAGCACTGAGACTTAACTCCCTATGCCACCAGGGAGGCCCCTAGCCTTTATCCTTTAAATGCTATCTCTTGCAAGATTTTTTTTTTTGAACAACTACACTACAGAAATTCTAAGAGGGAAATTAGGGGAAGAAATACCCCAGTACTCTAATTCAACTGTACATGGATTATATCCTTCCATTGTTTTGTCATTTATATGATACAGTTGCAGTTTTATTCAAATACCTGTATCTCTCACCTCACTTCCATGAAAACGGCCCACATTAAAAAAAATTTAAGGGCCTCCCTGGTGGCGCAACGGTTGAGAGCTGGGCTGCAAAGCAGCCCACAGCCTCTGCAGCACCGGTTTGATCCCCAGCCCGCCCCCCACCCCCCAGAGGGTACCACATGGCGCGCAGACCTCTGCGCTCACTGCTCCCCTCAGCAGTGTACTTCATCAGTCTGCCTGTTCTGTTCCCTGCTCTGGCTCTGGTGAATTCTCTCACCCTCCCACGCTTCTGACTGTACCCAGTGCTTATATAAATAAATAAATCTTTAAAAAGAATTTTAAAACCTGAAACAACTAAAGCTAAGCTGTGGAGAAAAAGGAACCCTGATGCACTGAAGGGCATGTAGCCTGGTCCAGCACCTATAGAAAACAGTATGGAGGTTTTCCAAAATATTAAAAATGGGTTTGTCATATGATTCAGTAATTCCACTCCTATGTATTTACCCAAAGAATTCAAAGATACTCATTCAAAGGAATATGTACACTTCCAAGGTCATTGCAGCTCTGTTTACAGTAACCCAGTGACCAACCTAAGTGCCCCCGCCAAAAAAGATGTGTGGATAAAGATGTATACACCAAGGAACACTTCTCAACTATTAAATAAACGATGAAATTTTTCTGTTTGCAATAATATAGATGGAACTGGAGGGGATGGTACTATGTGAGGTAAGTCAGAAGGAGAAAGAAATTCCAGATGACTTCGCTTATATGTCGAATGCAGAGAAACAAAATGAAGGATCAGATAAAAGTAAACCAAAACTAATACTGCAAATCTGACTATAGAATTGGAGGTCCTAGAGGGGGAAGGTGGAGGTGGAAGTCAAGGGGGAAGGGCCCAGGGGTTTCGAGTAAAGGACTGTGGGTGCTCTGGTAGTTGATGTGAATCTATTTCCCAAAATCATATCCAGTGTCTCCTCAATAATAATAAAAAGGGAAAAATACCCGCATCTCCTGCATGTTTTTCTTTAGTTAGTTTCCCATGTAACACAGTCCTGTAGTTGTCATTTTTAATGGTTAAGCCCAGAAATAAATACACCATAATTTATCATCATTTTGATTCCTTTTAATATTTTACTTCAAATAAAATTTTGCTAAACTACTTTGTGAATATGCCATTTGGTTTTGCATCTGCTCCTTTCTTTTAGGTTTAGGCTCTGTCTTTAAGAAAAATTCCCAAAACTTGAATTATCAGATAAAGGAATGTGAATGGCTTTTGACACACACTGCCACATTTCCCCCCTAATACCCACCTGTTAAAATGTGTACTAATTTATAACATAAACCAAGCTTGAACAAAGGTTATTCCAACTCATGGTTGCTTCCCCTTTTTAATGAGTTCTGTTCCAGTTAAATGCATTCAATTTAAATTTCTCTATTGAGCACAAAGGCCTTGAAACCTATCAAATTATATTGAAACTAATGGCATTCCTCATGAAAATGACCAAAAACCAGAAAGTAACATTTCAGTTTCCCTTGCATGTAGGTAGTTCCTTCCTAAAGTCCAAGATTTCTAATTGCTAAGCATTTCAGTTAGGGATTAGTCACTATGCTTAAGTTGCCTAATTGAATCAATCATTTGAACCTGTCACTAATACAAGTCAGAACATTTCAGTGGCTAATGTGGGCTTCCTGACTTGGGTGTGTATTTTGTAAGCATTTCTCCATGCCTGCATCTTCAAAAGAGAGGATAAAGAACAGTGACAAGAAAAACAAGCAAAAGAAGATTTCTGTATTCTTGGTTACCCTGAGGCTTGCTTGAGTTAATCCTAACCTTTAGTATTCTTAATATTAGCCTTAGAAGTGCTGGTCCCTGAAATCAATTTCCCAAGAATATTTAAACCTCTGGGAGATCGCCTCTCATTAGTGTCAACCACAGCATCACTATTTTTTTTTCCACATGCTAAATTTGGGCTTATTCTGAAATCCTGCATACTTGCTACTACACAGAGAACGGGTGGATTTAGACTATTGTGATAGATTTTCACCAAGTGCATGGTCGTCAGCGGATTCTCATGAAAAAGTGGAAAACACACCCTTCCGATTGCATGCCGTGTAGATAAAACCTGCCATGGATCAATTGAGTCTTCTACTTTTGAATTGTTTCAGGTAGTGCTTCAGGACTCCAGGTAGTGATTAGTAGCAATTCATTTTATGAGAGAATTTCATTTTAGGGTTAGAATCAAGAATAAAATAGACAAGTCATTTAAGAGTTCCTTTCTCAATGAATTCAGGAAACCCCTGATTTGCTTCCATCCACACCTCATATTCACCCACATCGTAGAGGGTTCTAGCCCCTGAAAGTGTGGGGGGTGTACAGGGGTGTGGTGACCTCCAGCAAATGATTCTGCAGCTGTTGTCTTTATTGTGGTGGGACTCTCTGAATTAGGATAATGCTGGTTAATCCTAATTAATGTTTTATCCAAGTTTAGACTTCACAACCAAACCAACCAGTTTTACGACCCACAGGAACTGAATTTGGCCTCACACTTGCAGCGGAAAAAGAAACATAAAAGAAGAGAAAAGCTGGCATCTCAGCTAACCAGCAACAGCCTCCTGGACACACTGCCAGATTGATCCAATTAAGAAATGTTAGCGGTCTGATGACAGATTTATAGACAAAAGGTTCAGATGAGCCATAGGTTCTTGACAGCAGCCGGCAAACCCTAAGCTCAGAACAAAATTCTGTTTAAGCCTAAAGAAACCTATGGGACTTTTCTGGACACAACGAAACACGTGAAATGCCACAGGTTTGCTTATTAATATCTATCCTGGGAAATGAACAGATCCTTGCTTCAGAGCACCAGAGCGTCCCCCACCCCTCACCACCAACCCCCTCCTTTGTCTGACTGGAGCAAAGCAAACCAAAACAATATAGTGAAAACCACTTGGTGGTATGTTTCATTTACTCCATGCCAAGGATTTTATTTTTAAATGACATTTTGTTACAGGAAAGGGAGAGGAGCACCCCAAAACCCCCAAACATGCCCACTTTAAACAATTTGAAAAAGTCCCGCTAAAGCAAAGCAAAGTGCCAGATCCCTCCTTGGGTGAGAAGCACAGTGCCATCCCATCTGCTTACCTGTGACCAGGACTGCCTTTTGATCCACAGGTAACAACTCTTGGCCAGAGAAGAAAGTGCACGTGAGGAAACAGGACAGGGAGAAGATGACTGAGCCCCAAAAGAGGGACAGGCTGAGTAGGCAAGCCCCTCCCCCCAGGCCCACCAGGCAGACCATCTTTCTCCCCATCTGCCCTGGGCTCTTCTTGAGTTTGCAAAGAATTGTTCCTCCGATAGCTGCAGTGACAGCCAGGCAAAGCCAGAAAGTGATCATTCTCGGAGAGTTCCCCACACCTTTGTGAGCTCAGGGCCAGCAAGTGCAGTGGGTAAAGGCAGGCTGGAGGCAGCCTGGGTTTTATGAACGGAGAGCTGCAAAAAGCGGGCGGGGAAAAACCACCCAGGCACACTTTGAAAGAGCCTGGATTAAGCTCATGCACGCATGCATATTTCCTGGTGGATAATTTAAATTGGGTGTGCACTTTGCTATAAATACCAGAGCACTTGCTATTCTATTGCTCCCCCTTATGCCCCCAGCATGCACAACAGATATGCATACTCACCCGCAATGTACACGTACACACATTATTTTTTTTAAATGACAGCTCCACCTCTGGAGAGATAACTACTTGGATAATAATTGACAGACTCCAGTCTGAATGATAAATGACAAAAACTGTAGCTCTCAGACCTAGGGAGGGAGTGGGAGACGGGAAGAGAGAGACAGAGAGACAGAGAGAGAGGAAATCCAGGCAACCAGTAAGGTTTGGAAGATGTGCTCTGGAAGGGGAAGGAGAGTCTGAATTTGTCTGTGTCCACAGGACTGCAGCCATCCTCACCTGAGTCAAGCAGAAGGGTTAAATGGAGAGAATATAGAACTAGAGGGAGAGTTTCTCGGCAGATGAAAGGTGCTTTTGGTCTTGCCTGAGGGGAGATATACCAGGGAGAGATAATAACCATAATAATACAACTAATACTGACCTATATCTACTTGTGCCAGGGGCCATGTCCAGCTACTTGTCCATTCATTCTATTTATTGATACCTTAGTCTCTGCCAGGCTCTGTTTTGGGCACTGGGACTCAGCAGGTAATATGGTCCATTACTTTGAATACAATATCCTTTTGAAATAGTTGCTATTATTATTATGATAGTAATTTTACAGGAGAGGACACTGAGGCACAGAGATGTTAAGCACCTCACCCAAGATCACACAGCAGTGGAGTCTGCAGTCTTGTTTTATAGTTTTATGCTCTTGATTTCTCTACTCTGCTGCCTGTTTTAGGCAAACAATAAAAGACAACTAATACTTGTGAATTAGCCCATCTCTATTTAATATTTTAATCTCTGGAAAGATAACAAATACAAGGTATTTGAAGTATTTATGACACTTATCCTTTAGGCAGGAAAACAGAGCATAAGTCATTTACTTACGTATAAACGTTGTGGATCTGGACCCACATGACAGCACCTGGCTGCAAAATTCCAATAAAGGTTGGGAGTTAGCTCTCTACTGGAGAGAGAAGAAAAGTTTCCATTTGTATGCAAATCTAATCTTAATTCTGCTGCTTACTAAGTAGGCAGCCTTATGTGATTGACACCATCTCCCTAAAGCTCTGTCTCCTCAACAGTAAAATAATAAAAATACCAAGGTAAAGTACTTAGTACCTGCTACCTGGTAAATGCTGGCAGTCATGTTTTTTAAACAGAAGAGGGAGAAGGAGAGCAGTAAAATTAAGTGCCCCGTGAAGTACAGACTTGTCCAAAAACATGGCAGGAGTGAGCTCATGCAGACAGACGGGGAGCAGGAGGAGAGAGGACTGATTGTGGGTGATATGGGCAGAGCAGAACTTGGGAGGAAATGCACCCAACAGCCACTAGTGTAGGAAGGTGGCTAGAGCTTAGGACCTAGAGCGGGAAACTGGCTGCTGGCCTCCGAGGAGTCCCAGGTAAATTCCTGCCCTCAAGCACCTCAGAGTCCACCTGGGCTCAAGGCTATCTCAAGACCTGAGAGAGACCAAGTAGTAGCAAGTGTGACTTGCGCTTCAGACAGAAGCACAAGACCAATATAGAGTCTCACGTAGAATGATGGCACCACTTGCATGCCCTCCCAGCCTTCTCATGGATAAGGAGGTAGGAGATGCTACTGGCTCCCAGCCTGGATGCTTCAGAGTAAGGACCTCGTGTTGTCTTAGGCTAGCCCTGAGATCCCCGCCCTCCACACACCCCATTCCACCTGTCAGCCCTTTCATCACATATCAGGACCATGACCAGGAATCCTCGGTGGGCCTCCTTCACCAGCCAGGATTCAGCACAGCCAGCTCTGGTGTCTGAAGCCTTTCTAAGTGAGGATACAGGATAGTTCGGCACTTTCTGGGGGCTTTGGCACTTTTTCAGGGCCCCCCCGCACTGGGGCCTGAGATGGAGTGCATTTTCCGGTGCCAATCCACATGGTTTCCCAGCAGCTTCACTCAGAGCTCCCAAGGAGAGGGCAAAAGCTTCCAGGCCATGGACATCTAGATAAGGATGCTCCTTGCCCCAACAGTGAGGGGACCACACACAACTATCCTGAGTGGTAGAGCCTGGTGCACTGAGTTCAAATCCCAGCTCTTATTTACCAGCTGTGAGGCATCAGCAAGTCGCCTGCCCTGAAGAAAGAGACTCAGCAACCTGTGTTGGTCACAGGACTGGCGTCCTTTTCCCATCGTGCCTCACACCAGCAGGTGCTAGAAATAATAGCCACTCATCCTGGTGTGCAGCTCTCACTGCTCTTCATCCTTTTCTCCCTGGCCAGCCTCCTTTCTCCTCCCCATTCATTTCTTCAGTTCTTCATTCAGTTGATCATATGCCCCTTTCCCTTGTGTCTGCTGACATGTCACCTCCTTAGCACCCAACCTCATTACCTCCCATCCCACATCCATTCATTACCTTCTCTCACTCAGCTTGATTTCTGTCTCTCCTATAACACCACAAACTTCAGAAGGTCAAGGGTCATTGGCTGTTTTGTTTGTTCTTTCGTTTTGTTTTTTACTCACTGTCTTCCCAGTGTCTAGCCTAACCCCCAGTACATTGCATGTACTTAGTATTCATTGAGATAATGAAAGGATCAGGGTTTTATTGAGTTCCTTCTAGGTGGCAGGGTTCAGCAGCGAGTATGTGGGCCAGTTCCTGACCTGGGCAAGATTCAGGAGTTGCAGAGACTAATGGGGGTACATAGTGGTGGAAAGAAGGCTGTTCCAATGGGAAACACCAACATAGAGTTGCAGGTGAGAATTATCCCAACCCCTTCTCAGCCCTGAAGGCCTCATTCCTCTTCTTGAGGACCCACGGGTCCTAATCCATCTGTGCTACCTGGATGTTGAATGAGGATTTTATCCGTCTGTGCTGAACTGTGCACTTTTTGTTTTTGTTTTGTTTTTAAAGATTTACTTATTTATGCATACAAGAGCTGAGGTGCAGGCCAGAGGTGTGGGAGGTGAGAAGATTCACCAGAGACAGAGTGGGAAGCATAACAGGTGGATCTACTGAAATACACTGCTGAGGGGAGCAGGGGGCGAGACAGGAGAGGTCTGCTGTGCCTGTGGGTAGCTCCCTGGCAGGGGATCGACCTTGTGCTGCAGTGGCTGTGGATAGCTTCATAGTGCTGTGACTTAACCCCTTGCACCACAGAAGGCCCTGTGTCCCTTCTTTGGACCTCATCATTTTGTCCGAAAGCTCTCCTTGAGGCCGTTCTTCCTTGGCCATTGTCCCATTTCTGGCAAGGGGCTCTTAACTTTGTAAGAGGAGGATCCAACTGGATCAACCCATTCTTGGTAATGATGCCAGTGGGTCAGCATGCTGCATCCTTCTATCAACCAAGCTGCCTTTTAGAAGGCACCTCTGAAGACAAGATATTTTACTTACCCCAAAGAGAAGTTTTCCCAACCTGGACCCAAAAAGTGGTGAGAATCCTAGAACAAATGATTTCTTGAGCATAAGTGCCTCTCGAGGGGAATTTGAAGTAATTTTCCATCTGAAACAGGGATTCTCTCTGTAACATCTCCACCAAGTGGTCATCTTATTCTATTGCCAGTATAGCTCTGCTAACAAGCCCTTCAAGGCCTCTGAAGACGGGCTTTCTAGTTCAAGACAGTTCAGAGTATTGGGAATTTCTTCTCTAGGCTGAGCTAGGCAGTGGCCTTTATTTTTCATTTCCCACTTGGATCACATAGACCACTTCCAGTTTCTATTTCTTTAAATAACTGAAAACTGTTATCTTATCTCACCCTCTCCAGGATGATGGTCCTCAAGTTCTGTCAATCACCCCTTATATACAGTAGAATGTAATGTATCTTGTGTTAAGAGACATGTCTGAAGCAGCCACATTTTTAAGAGTTGAAACATTTGTAAAAGCACCTTGTTGCAATAAATAAAGAATGGGTTGTTATGGGGAGTGTCAAATGGTGTTGACATGATGGAATGGACCAAGCAGAGAATGACCACATATTGATGTCACAGTGACCTCAGCAGCTCTGGGTGTGACAGTCATGAAAGATCATCTCCCAGACATCAGGGTGGTCTTCCTGGTAATGCAAGTTGTGTTATGTTTTTCAAGATTTTTGGTCATGATAATGTTTAAGTATGGAAATATAATTCTGCAGTATATCTCTCTGTATATCTCATTCTCTATTTCAGACATCAGGAGGGAAAAAAGACCTGGAAAAGAGAACCAGAGTTTTCAACTTGGATGAAATCTTTTCTTTGTCTAGCATTAAGACATTATGGAGTAAATAGTCTAAGCCCCACAGTTATTAATTCCAAATAGGTCAGACCCCTCACTTTTTGAATAAGTTTTCAAGGATCCTTAGCAGTCTCAGAATGGGATCCAATCATTTACTTCTCCCCCTAGGAGGAGGGACATAATTTTCAGTACAATAGCTCTCAGTACAGCAAGATCATCACATTCCCTGAAACCATATTTCTACCTATGTGTTCAAAGACTCATTTGCTGTCTTGATTCAAGTTATGCTATGGTTGGCTCCTCTTGTGTTCACTACCAAATAAAATTCCAGTTTTTACAGGAGTTTTCATGTCATTTTAAAAATTACCATTGTAAAATATAAAACGTGGACAAATTGTTGAAAATATATAGGTAGGTAAATGTGGGTCTGTTAGGCTTAAAGGGCTGCTTAAACTGCCATTCTGGCTATGCAGTTTTTCCTTTTTCAGTACATAGTTCATTTGGCCCAGTCAATCAATTACCTAAACTTAAAGAATGCAAACTGGGCCTCTCCTGGTGGCACAGCCGTTGAGTGCTGGGCTGCGAAGCTGCCCGCAGCCTCTGCAGCGCTGGTTCAATCCCTGCCACCAGCGAGGGTCCCACATGGTGCAACAGACCTCTCCTGCGGTGCCCACTGCTCCCCTCAGCAGTGTATTTCGTCAGTCTGC